TCCTGCTGCCTGGAAGGTCCAGAAATGCATGGTTAACATCACTTGAGCCCTTCATACTCACCTGGAGATTGAGGGCCAAAGTTAACACTGCACAGGAAGCACAACACAACACAAAGCCAGTGAGGAGAAGGATTCTCCTCCCCAAGGATTCCACAATGAGAACCTGAAAGAGACAGAAGAGGCTGAGAACAGATAGCTGGGGCTCAGCACTTACTCCAGATGCCTTCAACCAAGGGACACTTTAGGACATCTACCATGCAAAGCATCTCACAGAAGGTGTACATAACACTCTAGTGGGAGGTGTCCCTGCCCATGGCAGGGGGTTGGAATGATGGGAGCTTTAAGGTCCCTTCCAGCCTAAAGCATTCTGTGATTCTATGAACATAACCTAATTTAAACAGGGACAGACAGGGGAGACTGGACAAGGCAGAACTCAAAGAGCCCAGCAGAAACTTACAGCAAGAACAGACAGGGGAGACTGGACAAGGCAGAACTCAAAGAGCCCTAACAGAAACTTACAGCAAGCGAAGTCATGACGACGTTGATGGCACCTATGGACACAGTGACATACTGAATGCTGTTGCTGGGCACACCTGCTGACTCAAAGATTCTGTCTGCATAGTAGAAGACCTGCAGCAAAACCATAGCTGTGTTTATACATGGCCAAAGGCAGAACCTGTGAATCCCATTTTGGCTGCTTTTACATCCTGGCACTGGTGCACAGAAGCCTACGGAGTTAATTATTTCATTTCAGGAGCCATTGGTGCTTGGATCCAGGCACAAGCACTTTACTCTGAATACACCCAAAGCATCCTTAACAGGACAGCTCGACCCTGTATCTAGCACTGGATTTGGTACTGGCCAGGGTCAACCCACCACAACATGATACAGAACCATTGTCCCAGGTGAAGAGGTACTCCCATGTCCTAAGTTTAACTCCTTGTGTCAGCACTGCCCCACATCATCCACTCTGAAGTCCCATCCCTGTGTCACTCACCCCCCTGGCCTTCCCCACATGCCTCTCCACTCACCCCATTAACCCCAGAGAGCTGCTGGCCCATCATCATGACGATGATGGAGATGAGCTGCCACCTCAAGCCTCTGAAGGTGCACAAGCTGAGCACAGAGAACTGCCCTTCTTCCTTTTCTGACCGGTCTTCTTGGTACATTTCTTCTATCTCATCATCCACATCATCACAGCCTCTCAGCTTCTGCAGAGCTGGTTGGGAGAGAAAAGGTGAGTTATGGACCCCAGAGAGCAGGTTTACAGAGAGTTCTCCTGCTTCAAATCAAGACATAACACTGTGTAACCCTGGGCAGCAATGTTTCCATGGTGGGAAGCTGGGGATGCACATATGCAGAGAAAGGAGCAATCTGGCAAGAATTCCATTCACCAGCAACACACCAGTGGAGAAGTTCACACTCTCTGCTCCTCTATTGGTTGTTGTCAGTCACATCCCACAGTCAGATCTATCCCATCCTACCTCCCCTTCCATCAAAGGATGATACTTTACCTTTCCTTGCCTGTTCCTCATTGCCCTTTTGTATCAGCAGGTATCTGGGACTCTCAGGGAAAAAGGGCAATATAAGGAGCTGAATGAGTGATGGGATCCCAGTGAGTCCCAGCAGCACAGGCCAGCCTGCAGCAAGGGAGACAGGATGCCAGCTGTGAGAAATCTTTCCCCTCTGGAGCCCACAGAAGAGTCCCCAGTCAAGGCTTTACCTTCAGCATTCCCGAGGATGCTGTTGAGACCAAGGATCTGAGCTACAAGGATCCCAACGGTGATGAAGAGCTGTGGGACTACCCCAATAGCACCTCTCAGATTTTTGGGGGACATTTCTCCAAGGAACATGGGAACCACATTGGAAGCCAGACCTAGTAGTTAGAGAACAACGTTAGACATGCAGCACACTCCACATCTCCAGCAAGATGTTCCCTCTTCCCATGGGAGACCAAAGCAATCCCTGCTGGACCATACAGCACATATGGAAACCTCACATTCCAACCCTTCTGCTCCAGCTGAAGATTGAATGTTATCTGCTGACTCTGTGTGATTTCCTCACTCTCAGGGGAAGATGGGACAAAACCACCATGTGGCATTGGGTCACTCAGTACATGGAGAGCTACAAAACCTATCACTGTATCTGGTGCCCTCAGAAGCTCTAACCTTGGAGTGCCACCTGCCCATCTTCTGGTGCTGTGTTTAAATTATTAACTGCTCAGCAGCAAAGCATTTTAGGACTCTGAGAGGGTTAGCAGTAGCCTGTCTTGCCTACAGAGCAGGCAGATGATTTGGGGGCTCTCAGTGTTCATCTTCCTAAAAGCAGCTTTCTCCCTGCAGGGTCTGCCAGATACTTCAGCACAACACACACAAAGAAAATTTGTGTACAGGAGGAATTTTTACTTCCTCTAAAGCAAGAAAAGAAATCAGTATCCAAACAAGGTGATGGGAGGATGAAAGGAAATGACTTTGTGTTGACTTTTAAAACTTCACTGCTTAGTAATGCTTTGCAGAAAGCTTTGCTGGTCTGAGATGTTTTGGAATATGTATTTCTATTCCAATAAGGACATGGGTTATTTTGAGGAACATTACATGGCTGCCCCCAGTAACCCCAGTGAGCTGCCAGCTCCTGTGCTTATGCTGTAAATCCTGGCATGAAAACCCAAACTCTGGAGTCAAATGACTACATGGGACTCCTATTTCCAAGGCTCTTAGGCTTCAGCAGCTTGGGATTACAGTGGTGATCAAGCTGTTAGCTGGAAACTAGAAGGCCCAGAAACAAGTGACAGCAGTGCTGGGGGTGGCACTTGGATCTTCCCAGATCCTGGAGCAGCCTGGCTGGGCTCAGCAGCTTCTCTCCCCAGGCACAACGTCCACAGTGCAAGTGAGGTCAAGCTGCAATAGGCAAATCTGGACAGCCAGTCCAGATTCCTTTGTTGGTTATAAATAACTGGAAAGAGGGATCACACTTAACAGGGCCCTTAGCATTTATTCCAAGCTCCCATGCTAAGAGCAGCTGCCAAATTTAACAGAGGCAAAAGCCAGAATAAAACCATTGGAACAGATAAATTGGAAAACAAGAATATGAGCTGGGAAAGCAACTCGATCTCTTCTAAGCAGCAATTAAAAATTGGTGAGCTAAGGCAGGAAATTTCTATTTAGACTATCCCAGCTTGATAACAAACCATGGAGCAGTCAGTCTGGTCAGCCCAAAGCCAATTAATTGAGCTCAAATGTTGTCAGGACCCTTACAGGACCTGCCCAGCACTGCAGAGGGTGCCCAGCACTCTGGGTTTGTTGATTCCCTCTTACTGCAGCCCTAACAAAGCCACTTACACCAGCAATGCACATATATCCTTGGATTCCCACTACCTTTCCAGTAAATCCAGTGGCTCTGAGCCCTTTTCTCTTTAAACATTGCTTTTCTCCTGCAGGAAGAACAGTCAGTTCCAGGACTGGATTATTGGATCTGGCATTGACTCCAATGACTTTGATGGATTATTCTGATTATGTTAAAATGGAAAAAAAAATAGACTATCTGCTTTAAACTGGGAAAACAGATTATCATCAGCAGGTTTCCTGGCTGCAGTGCCTAGCAGATGCTTATTGCAGGGGATAGCTGCATCTGCAGGCACAGATCCCCTCTGGACATCTGAATTTCCAGCCTCAGGGCCATTATCTCCAAGAAATCTTTAGTACTCCTGCACCATGCAGATGACCACAGCATTCTTATGCAGATGCTGCCTGGAGTGTGCTCCCTGTGAAAGCACCGGGTGAGAGAACAAAACACCTGTACTTAGCTAAGAAAATATTTATGGCTCTTCCTTTACCAGCCACTTACCAGCATATATTCCCATGATAACACGGGAAAGGATGATTACTTCAAAGGTTTTTGCTAGCTCTGAGGTTCCCATAAGGACTGCAGCAACGATGGAGAAGAGGTTATTTATCAGCAAAGTGCCCTTTCTGCAAAGTAACAGCAAAGGAGACAGATTCAGTTTGGTTTTTCTAAGGCCCCAGTAGAGCTCCTCTGTGTTAACTCTGTTCAAAACTCAAATGAATCATCATCCCAAAGACTGATCAAAGAGAAAATGGCAATTATCCCATTTCTTCCTGCAGGGAATGAAGGCTTCGAAAAAGAACTGAAGCTTCTCAGGAAACCTGAGCAGCAGAAGCAGGGTCTGATTTCAGATCCCAGCAATGAATGTGGATTTTCCTCATTGCTCTGCACCTGGCCTGGTGCCCAGCATACACCTTGGCCTTGGCCATTCCCAAACCATATCAAAATCCTTTACACTGAGGAGACAACACGTGTTGCTGAGCCCAGCAATGAATCCTCATCCCATGTGTCTACAGTCAAGGTGTGTGTGTGAAATCCATGCTCCTGATGGGCTTGGCAAGCTGGAGGGACCAACAGGGCAAGTCTTATCTAGACCCAGCAAAACGTGTGTGAAGGATCTTAGGCACTGCTGTCACGTACCTGCCACAATTGTTGACCAGAGGCCACACCATCAGGGACCCAAACAAGCCACCCAGAGGGAACATGGACACAGTGAGAGACCAGAGCAGTGTCTGGAGGCCACTGTCCATAGGCACTCCCACCCTGTTGAAGTAGGTCTGGTTGTAAAAGTCTTGCATGTACTGGAATGAAATACAAAGCATGTTTAGCACAGTAAGTACAGTTTTCATGCTGTAAAAGTCACTTCATCGGTGCCATAAAGCTTTAAACTTTTGGTAAAATAGCAGAATGGCTAAGTTGGAAAATGAAGGCAAGAGAGGGATGGAGAAGCCTGGAGTAGAAAACTGATTTTACAAGTTATCCTGCCTTATAGGATGTGCCATGGAGAGGTGAGCTATGAGAAATGCCTCCTCTTTGGAAACCAGGCACATCCTATAAGGCATCTGCCCACAAATACCCACAACATACTGTTACACTCCTGCCTTGTTTATAAACCTACTCCTAAGTGTTTGTAAACCTACTCCTAAGTGTTTGTCAATCCTAAGTGTTTGTCAACCTACTCCTAAGCCATGGGGCCCTCTGTGGTCCAACCTACCGGGGCTGGAGAGTTGATCACAGACACGTTGTAGCCATACTGGAAAGAAGATCCAAATGCAGATATCAATGCTACCAGGCCAAGCAAAAGTGTCATTTTCTGTAGAGGCAAAAGACAACACACAAACATCACCTTAGAAGCAGGTCCGGCTTTGAGGCATTAATGACATTCAGCAAAAAGAAATAAATACCCTAAGTCTTGCTTTCCATGGTCTTTCCCTTCATTTTACTGTATATAAAAGCCCAATGGGTTGTTTTCATTACTAGTCGTTTTTGTTCTGCTTGATTTGCACATAGTCGTTACAGTAATTCACTCTGTGCTTTGTTGATATTGATGAACATTTGGATGATTAATTTGAAAGTTATCATTCTTAAAACACCACCCTGCAGGGAAAAAAAAAATGGGTCTGGGTAATTATTCTTTCTCCACCATGCAAATTGGGTAGTGAAATAACAGAGGAAATTGGCACAGGAAAGCTTGAAAAAGAAATGATTTTTACATGAAGTGGCAAAATCCCTTTCCTGTTCATTTGTCCTGCTTCCCACACTTCAGGATCAAGGTGTTTATGGATCTAATTGATTGCCATTGAAGCCAATTAGAACTTCTCCAATTAGCTCAGTGAGGGGTTGGTCGTGGGGTGTAGGACCTGCGTTTTGCAGTTAAGCAGGAGAGTGAAATTGCCATCTGGAGCAGGATCAAACACCACATTTGCGGGTACACAGTGCTCAGGGTTACAAACAACTCGTTTTTCGCAACAGTTTAGTTGCTATTCAGTCCTCAGGCTGGCCCCAGTGTTGACAGAGCTGGGTTTGTTGGTTTTTTTGTCTGGTTGGTTTTTATAGCTCGCTAATGTATCTCATTTGCTGCTGCATCAACGAAGTCATTTTTCATTCAGACGCATCTCATTTTCTGTCACCATCACCAGCCTTAATGTCTGCAAGGTCTTACGCCCCAACACTCAGCTCAGGTCCCACATGAAGGATCTGTCACTTCCCTAATTGAACAGCTGTCCCAATAGCTGCTGGGGCTCCTTTCTGTTCCTCAGAAGCTCTGGCAGCTCACCTCGAGGGATCTGCAGGCTTTAAGGCATTGCAGGAGATCAAAATTCAAGTTGATCTCAGAGTGAGGATCAGGAGGAAGCTGAGACTTCCAGCTGCATTTTCTAGGCATAGACTGCTGACATTCTTGCATTGGTGATGAAAAGCAGCTGCCTTGCTCTCATTAACCAAATCCCAGAAGCTCAAAAGAGTCACTGCTGTTAATTATTCACATTCAGCACTTGTAGCAAAAGGTCTGGCACACACGAGCATTGCATTGTGCAAGACTCCACAAACTCCCATCCAGAAACATCTGCAGCCTAAAAGTGATTAGAAAGTAGGAAAGAAAACACACATGCAGAAGGGGAAAGTCACGCAGAAGTTACAGAGTAAGTGAGCTGCAGACAGAGAGAAAAGCACAAGAGTCAAAGCAACACTGTGCTGCATGCTGACACAAGTTGCATCCAAGTATATCCCATCTCTGTTCTCCCTGGAGATACATTAGCCCGACAGAGCACAGTCTTCTTTCTTTACAAGTACCCACAGACCTCCAATAGCTTATTCTGCATCTGTGGGAGGCTCAAGCTGGAAGTAGAGTCAACACACTTACCCCCTTTGCACCTTCACTGCCTTCAGAGCTCTCTCTCTTCGCTCCTTTCTTCTTCATTTTGGCGTTTGAAGCACAGATGCCTCGTGCAGGTCCTTACAGCCAAAACAGTCAAGGCAGGGGAACGCCCTGCTCAGAAAATCCAACTCTGTGACCTTTCCAAACACGTCCAATCAACGCCAGGCTCCAGCAGGCAGAGCAAGTTGGTGGTGTCTGATTCCCTTCCCCTGCGTGACTGTCGCGTGGCTTCGATTTCTTTTCCTTGTTCAAGTCTGTCGCTACTGAGTCAGATGTTCTTTTACCAGATCCTGTCCCAAACAGAGGTGCTGCCTAGTTACTGGGTAAACAGGCTCATCTCACCAACGAGAAGGGGCAGACTTAGCACAAAAGTTGCTAAAATGAGCTATTTTCCCCCCCACTATATATCCAAGCACAAGGTGAGTCTCTAGAATAGAACTGCTGCAGCTCCTGGGCAGCTGTGGAAGGTGCAGCTGGACATGCTGCCCAGCAACTGCTGCAAGCAGGGAAAACAAGGCATTCTGTGGAAGCAGCCTTGGCAACAGAGGAGGTGTTTGCCATGTGCCCCAGCACTGCAAGTGAACCGTACTAACCCTCCTGCAGCCACAAAGAGCTTAGCTGTCCCTGGGCCAGAGCACTGCTCACTGTCCTACCTTGCACAGCCCAACTTGCTCAGGCACTTCTGCAGCTCACAGAGAACAGGTTCATCCTCTCAGGTTTGTGGTTTTGACAGCACACAGAACCACAATTTTTCCACCAAAGCACTCAAGTTCCTTTCCCTCTAACATTCAAGGTGGACCACATGCTGCTCTACGTTAGGAGATTGCACCCAACGGTTCAGGACTAGGTTAATAGTCAACTACAATTCCTCCAAGTTTATCAGAGAAATGCAAAGTTCACAGATAACCCCAGCACCTGGGGAAAATGAAAATAAACCTCCTGTTTATCAGGCCATTTGTCTTTAACAATCAGCTGAAAAAAATGCATCCACTTGAGCAATAGTTCTTTTCCACGAACTCTGCACGCATTCTTCTACTGGCTGCAGCCTCCCTCCCTGCAGGTGAAAGCATGCTGCTCTGTGATAAGGCAGAGGAGCAGAGCCTGCTGCTTTCAGAGTGGTGCAACTCGGGGCCCAGACTTCTTGGCACTTGTTTTTTATTGCATTTGTTACAAGTGAACAGCCTTAAGGACATCCCTAGGACATCTGGGCAATGGATCACACCTCAAGAACATTGTGTTTCTCACAGTCCCACCCATCCTGTGGTGCCTGAAGTGGAGTGAGGAGCAAAGCAGAATATGATTTTCACCCATAACTCATCTTTCTCTACCTTCCTCTGCATTCCCAGTGAGGGGATGGAGGTATCTGGCACTACCTGAGACTAGCTCAGCTCTTTCCTAAAACAAAGGAGGCAGGTCACAGCTCACTCACCAACTAGACTTGTTCTCACCTTCACAGATCTTCAGCCAAGAGGGAAAATTCTGCCCCAGGGATGAGGAAACTGCAGAGAAGACAAATTTCTTGCATAGGATTCCTGTTCTTTAAAGACAGTATCATTCTTCTAGGTGCTCTTGGCACAACAGCAGGAGAATTCTCTATCATGGTCCCTGAACCTGAAGAAATAATCTTGAAACATATAGAAATCAAAGAGAACATGTATGCTTGTCATCAGAAATCCTTCATCAGAGTAACTATTTGCTTGTGGCAGCAGAACAGTTTGAATATTTGCCAGACACAACAAGAATCTAGTAACAACAGCCGTGAGGTAATAATTGGCACTGGAGTGGATCTTGAAGAGATTGATGAAGGGAGACAAGATGGTGAGTGAACTTCTCCTTAGATTTTCCAATTAATTGCAGGGGTGTAACATCTTCAGCAGCTCAGATCCTGTTGGACTTGGGCAAAGGACAGAGCCAGGAACAAGCAAACAGTTAATTTTACAAGCACATCTATTTCAGATCCAGCACATATTATGCTTCTTCCAGCTGCTTTCCACCCCAGACTGTGTCTGCCCGAAGACATGAACTCAGCTCCCTATCTTCTCTCCTCTGCCTTTGCTCACCACATGGCAAGAGCTCCCATGCACTTCTACAGGGGTTTATTTATGCTCAGCCCAATTGTCTGTGCTCAAAGATTGATCCTATGAAACCCTGATATCTTTTGGGTTCAAAACCAAAGCCAAGAAGGGAGGCGTAGTTGCCTGGACATTAAATCTGATGGAGAACATTAGTGGTGATGATGGAAAAATACTGAGCTTACAAAGACTCCTCCCCAGCAGCCAGAGGCTGCTCATCAGTTGCTTAGCTGATGTGATTTAGCTCAGTCTGAGGAACATTTTGCAGATAAGAGAAGGGTATAGGAATTTGGTTAACAAGAAATAACATATAGAGGAAAAATAAACATGCCTCAGAAGATTGTTTACAGCTTTATGCCATTTGCACTCTCCTCTTGTCACATATGACTTGCAAGTAGTTCTGTTGCTTTCAAAGTTCTTCATTATGTCACAAAATTAGTAGAGTAGTGTTAATTGGTGAAAGAAACTTATCTAAGACCGGCAAAGTCTCAAAGGGGGAGTTGTTGCAAGGGGCCTCAGCACCCAAGGACACAAATTCTCTTGTTTACAGCTTTATGCCATTTGCACTCTCCTCTTGTCACATATGACTTGCAAGTAGTTCTGTTGCTTTCAAAGTTCTTCATTATGTCACAAAATTAGTAGAGTAGTGTTAATTGGTGAAAGAAACTTATCTAAGACCGGCAAAGTCTCAAAGGGGGAGTTGTTGCAAGGGGCCTCAGCACCCAAGGACACAAATTCTCTCACCTGTGACCAGCTCATCCTGGAGGAGTCCAGAGGAGCCAGCAGAAGCCAACCAAGACCAAGATAAGGAACTTTATAATTGCAAATGAGATAATGAGCTAAGCCAAGACCACACATGGAAGGAAGACTCAAAATTCATGGAAAGGACTCTATGGACATCTTCTCAACAACCACAAGGGACCACCAGAGACCATCCAGAAACCCCATGGAAGACCCCCAAGAAGCCACTGACTCAAAAGTGACTAATTAGCATAAGAAGTGAGAGAATCACGAACCAACAGAGGAGCAAATATTAATTAATAAGAGTTAGATAACGTGTGACCAATGAGCGCTAATTTCTTTGCTTTCTGAAATGTATAAAGAGTAAAAAGTTTGGATAGTTGGGGAGCATGTTGGGAGGAGCATCTCCTGGGCACCCAGTGCTCAATAAACTCGCTTACCAGTCAAACCAGCTATTGAGTTTTATCATTGCAGGTTTTCCTGGAACCAGAGGTGAGCTGTAGGGAAGGGATGGTGAGATTAAGAGCTGGCAGCCAGCCATGCTGCAGTGTGCTGATTGCAGTGCCTGAGGTAAGGAGACGTCCCACAGTAGATGTTCAAGGGAGTGACAGCAGCAACTTTTTCACTTGCATTTTGGGCAGGAACTGCATGTTCAGTCAAGGTTAATTCAATACCATGTGCAGTTCTGAGCAGGTCCTGGAGCCCTGAGCTACAACTGGTCCCTCAGCTCAGGAGGGACATTGAGGTGCTGGAGCAGGTCCAGAGAAGAGCAACGAGGCTGGTGAAGGGACTGGAGCACAAGTGCCATGAGGAGAGGCTGAGGGAGCTGGGGGTGTTCAGCCTGGAGAAGAGGAGGCTCAGGGGAGACCTTCTCACCCTCTGCAACTCCCTGACAGGAGGTTGGAGTCAGGTGGGGGTTGGTCTCTTCTCCCAGGCAACAGCAGCAGGACAAGAGGGCACAGACTCAAGCTCTGCCAGGGGAGGGTTAGGTTGGATATTAGAAGAGATTTTTTAGGGAGCGAGTGCTCAGGCATTGGAATGTGCTGCTCCTCTCCGATCGGGAGGTGGGAACAAAGGTGGGAACAAGACTCCCTAGCAACAGCGGGAACAGCGTCCCTAGCAACAGCTCGCGCATGCGCAGAGCGCACCGGAAGAGCCACACGGAACCGGAAGCGCCACACGGAACCGGAAGTAGAAGAGTCTCAAACCGGGGGCTGTGGGGAAGGGTTTGTGCCCTTGGCGGAGCAGAGGCTCCCCGGCCGCCCAGCGCTGTTTTGCTTGCTGAAGCCTTGCTCAATCAATAAATTTCCTAATTGAACTGGCTCCTGCCAATTTATTGGGCCGCAATTTGTTAACGTTTTCCATCCCCACTGATTCTATGGTGAAACAATGATTTAAGAAATAATTTGCCTGAAATAAGACATATACAGACACTGCTTTATCAGCTGCATAAAAGGCTTCCAGTCAAGTAAGCAAGAGGTAGATATGGCAGTCTGATCCCTCAGATCCTATTTCCTGTTGATCCCAAAAGGAAAGGGGGTGCAGGATCACTAAGCACACTCTGCAGTGAATAGCAGCTCTGGAATCCAACAAGACCCTAATTTGCTGCACAAAGGCAACGCTGGACAATGTCCTGGTAAAGAAACCAACCTTTATTTTGTAAAAGTTGCAGAAAATATTTAAAACCAGGCAAACGAGGAGCTGTAAATAAGGTCAAACATTATCTCCAAATAGCAAACACAAACCCCATCCCCTGCCCAGGTCCAAGAGCAAGAACAGACTGCAGATTGCACTCAGGACAGCTGCAGATCAAAGCAGATGGAGGCACTGCCTTGCTGCTGGGAGGGCTGTGCTTGCTGGGGGTACACCCCAATATCCCTGAGCACCAAGGGAGGCTGCAGAGTTCAGCTTTCCTCAGGAGGCAATACCCATGCTGCCACCACAAACCCTGATGGTGACAGCCTCTAACCATCAAGGAGGAGGAATAAACCATCAGGAGGAACCATCCATCACCACCCACATTTCCACATTATTGTCCATGTTCAAGTGAAGAACAGCAGCTAGTCTGGAGTTCCCACGAAGACTCACATGCTAGGACTGAAATCCATGTCCAGGACAGTCCTATTTGGCAGCTACTGAAGTTCTCTTGTCACCAGCATATTTGTTCACCTCAGAACTCACCACACATTTGTCTTGTCAGACAGAAAAGCAAAACCCCAAACAACTTTTAAGATTTCTAGTGGAGGGTGAGGGGAAAAAGGGAAGAAAACCAGGAAGCTGGAGTACAGCCAAATAGTCTCTTCCAGAGGATCCTGAGCAAAGTTTAAGTCCAAAGCCTCTGTGTGAGTGCAAGGAGGAACGGGATCTCTTCCATCTGCTCAGCCACTCCAGCAGTGCTTTTCCCCGGGCTTTAGCTCCCTCTGTGGGACTCTGGGATGATCCCACACCTGCACAGAATGAAGCACAGTTACAACCCAGGACTGCCCCACCATCCTGCAGCCTGTGCACAAAGGTTGCCCTGAGCAACAGGCTTGCAGCAGCTGGAAACAGGCATGATGGACCTTTTCCCAAAGTACAGCCTGGCATCCCAACCACAGCCATCCCCAGAAATAGCCAAGATAAAATTCTTCACTCCATGCTTGACAGGGGAGAGCCCTGAGACATCTTCACAGCCAACAGAGGCATCACCCCTGAAGTCACACCTCATCCAGAGGCTGAGGGACACTTGCCAGGAGCTCCAGGCACTTCCACACACCACCTGGCCTGTTATCCCATCTCCATTCACATCTAGGCTGCTCTCAGCTTCCGTGTTGGGAACCACAGACTCTTCTAACAGGTTCTCTGTTGGCTGTTTTGCTTTCTCTGGCCTTGCTGACGTAAGGATGCCAGAGATGTCAGACTTTCCACTTGTATCAGCACAGATGCTACTGCCCATAGCTGGTGTTTACAGCCCAGCACGCTTCCCTGAACCCCTGGAGCTGGAAATGTAATTCTGATGAGCTGCACATTCCTTCCAACCCATTTCTCAGAGCTTTGTCATGGAAAAAGGCAAACTGAGAACATGGAATCTGTTTTGATTAGGTTTTTTGAGGTGTTTGGTTTTCCCCTGAGCCAAGCTTGTGACAATTTTACATCCTCTCTTTAGGGTTGGCTCCAAAAAAAATGAACACAGCACAATACTAAATCATAAAATTAAAGGCTTAACTATCCTGCCTTTCTGCAAGAAGTTTAACATAGCTCCTCTTTCCAAGCCTTGTGGGACTAACGTGAGGTTGAGCTACCAAGGTTGCTATTTGGCTTTCAGAAGTTTAAAAAATGCCTTTTGAAAGGAGAAAAAAAACCCTCTTGAAGTCGTCTATGGCAAAGATAAGATGGTTCCATTTACCTTTCAAATACTCCAGGGATGCTAAGAGCAGAGCCATGAAATAGGCTCAGGAGCTCTTGAGGGTTCCACTTCCCATGTTTACACAGCCTGTGTACAATGGGGCTTAAATATACTAACATAATAATGAAGATGATGCCAAGGCTTCAGGAAATACCAGGACTTGCCTCTGCCTACAGTCCCCCAAGACCACTGCACCATGTAACTGTTGTGCTTGCTGTTAACGTGACCAAAATAAACTAATCAGAGCAGCTTTGGAACAGCTTGGTGCCTGCAGCAGTGGGAGCCCAACAGCTGCCCTCGCTCCCCAGACAGCTCATGATGCTCCTGTTCTTTTGGCAAAAACCTGTTATACAAATTCAAAATGTCAACTGATTGCAAATAAAAAGCCCTTTGTTTTTTCAGGCTGTGTGGGCTGGGAGGAGAAACAGATGTATGTGAGAGAGGTGTACTCAGAGCTCTGCATACCCAACAGTCTCCTCTGCAGGATGCTCATGCCCTGCCATGCCCCATGGCATTCTGCCTTTTAGGCTCAGTCCTTTGGACTGAGTGTGACCTGCAGGGGAAGTACAACTGCAGAAGCACAGAGGGTTTCACACTCCTCCTGAACAGACTGCAGTTCCCAGCACATTAACCTAAGCTGTCAGTTCAGCTGCTCTAGATTTTCCTCCTTCAGCTGCACTGTTATGAACAGAGCTCTACCAATATCTGCTTCACAGACAAAACCCACACTTGTACCCTAAACCCAAGTGCTCTGAAATGGGTTAAACCTGACACTCCTATGTGTCCTGCACCTATCACTCATGAGGTCAAGCACAAGCAAACAAAGTGTTTACACAACTAGACCAATGCAAGGACATCACTGGCCAATCTTGTTCCTGGAATGAAGAGCTTCTGTCAAATTTCTGCTCCTAGAGACTCCCTAGACAAGCTTAGATGAAATCACATCCCCTCAGTTTTATGAGTGGCAGCAGGGACTATAATCCCTTATGAGGAAAAGTTGTGGCTCTAAACTCATCTGCACTGTGCAGTACTGACAAAATGTGTGCGTACGTGGTATTTTACATCAAAAGGAGACACTAATTCCTCTTCTTCAGTTTTCACTGCTGTCCTGTCCTTCTGGGCCAGACAGTCCTTCTGTCTAGTTCCTCATTCTACAGGCTCAAGTACTAGCCACCAGCACAGCTCATGGGGAAGGAGAGTGGAGCAGTTCTATAAATGGGTTCAGAGCGTGCTGGGAAGCTGCTGCAGAACCAGACAGGGAACCCCCCCCAGCAGCAGAAACCCCCTCTGTCAGCTGCTTACTGTTCCCACCCCTCAGATCATGACACTGTGCACAGGGCAGGGCAGGACGAAAGACTCTCACTAGATCCTTACCATGACAGAAGGAATCAACACTGGAACAGAGGCAGCTCAGGTGCTGGAGAGCAGGGGCTTGGTCTGCTCAGGGCCTGGCACATCCTTGTCCTTGTGGGGTTCTGGGTGCTGCCAGGAGCTGTTTGACCTTTGCAGAGACCAATCCATCTCATCATATTTGCCACAGCAAATGAAGGAAAGCAGCCGAGTCCGAACCGCTCGTGTGCAGAGGACAAACATGATGCAGTTGGCACCTCCTTGGAACGTGTTTCCAATTCCCTGGCAAGGGCAAGAAAGGAATTAACCAGTGCTGCTCCTGCAGGCACCCTCCAGAGAAGAGCAAACGTCATGTCAGACCAGCTACAGGACTGACAGTCACCAAATTTGACCTGAAGAGGAAAAACAGATGCAGAAAACAGCCTTGCACCCAAACCCAGAGCAGCTGGGCTGTTGTGGGCTGGCACTGCTGCAGCCTGGTGTAGGGCAGGAGCAGACTCAAGGGCAGACACCCAACATTCCTGGGCTGCTTTCCCTA